AAAGGGCTGGAGGGAGGCAGCATGTCTGGCCTTGCAGTAATAGGCCTTGGGTTACTGCTGGTAATCCTGTCTTCCTCTTGTGAGATTAGAGGAGGTCAGAACATGTGGCCTCCTTGCCGTTTTTGCACATACCCATCTAACAGATGAGAAAAATGAGGCAACTCATCCAATATCATATAGCTAGCAAGTGACAGAGCAGAGATGGGATTCAAACCCAAACCCAGGCAATTTGGCCATGGAGTCCATGCCACTGACCATTATACTGTACTGCCTTTCCAGGCAGGAAACTGCTTTAGAGTTAAATGGTCTCTAGCTCAGTTCTCCAACAAAAGATTTAATGCTACTATTCAAAGATCTTTATTAATACTATAAAACTGATTTGTTCAGCAGATTATCAAATAAAACTTTCTATTAACAAGCACTTCCACACATCTAACATAGAATAATCAAACATGTGACCATGGGAGACTTTATCAGCCTAAGTGCCAAGGACTTAAACAATAAATCAAAAAAAAAAAAAAAAAAAAAAAAAAAAAAAAAAAAAAAAACCAGTGGCTAAAGACATATATAGAAAACTTACTGTGTTTCTCTAGCAAGGAAGAATATTCAATTTAAAACAGTGAGATATATAATTTGTATCGATCATGTTGTTGTTGTTATAATCCATTAAGTCAGACCAGACTCATAGTAACCCCTTCCTTGGATTTCCGAGGTGGTATCACTATGGCAGTAGATTGTCCAACCTGCCTTCAGTAGTCAAATGCCTCAGGCACTACGCTACCAGAGCTCCTTCCATCATATCACATATCAGAAAGATTAAAAATAAATGATTCAAAATGTAAATTTTCCTTAGTTTTAACATGATTCCAATAAAAGTGCCATCTTTTTTTTTCTTACATACACAAGTTGAGATCCAGGCAAGCTGATTATAAAATTCATTTAGAAGAACAAAGAAAGCCAAAAAAAAAAAAGAGAGAGAGAGAGTGCAACAAGGGAATGTTTTACCCATGCCAAAACATTAACACATAACACAAAGACTCTATTATTAAAACAGTATGATACCACTGTACAAAAAAAAAAAAAAATACAGATCAATGGAACAAAATACAACTAAACCCAACTGCATATGGAAATTTAGTATGCCATAACACAAAACCAGTGAAAAAAAGAAAGCCTTTTTGATAAGTGATGTGAGAACAAGTGGGTAGGCATACAGAAAAAGATAAAATTCAATTCACGCACCATACCATATTTAGGGTAGCTATGAGTTGCAGCCACTATGTCAAAAAGATGAAATGACACAGTGGCTGTAACGATGGGCTCAAGCATAGCAACAACTGTGAGGATGGCGCAAGACTGGACAGTGTTTAATTCTGTTGTGCATAGGGTTGCTGTGAGTCAGAGCCTGCTCGACGGCACCTAACAACAACAACATGAGTCGGAATTCAACTAGACTGCAATGGGTACCCATACCACATACCAGAAAAATTCTATATAGTCTAGACATTTCAATGTAAAAAACAAAATCATAGAGCTACCAGAAGAAAATAATCACGAAGTCCTTTGTAATCTGGGAAAGGGAAAACTTTTCAATTTATGATTCAAAATAGAGAAGCAATTAGGGAGACTCGTAAATTATATAGCTGCCAAAGGTGCAGAGAGGCTGCATCTTCTGACCTCCTCTAACCCCACAAGAGGAAGACAGAATCACCATCAATAGCCCAAGGCCTATTCCTGTGAGGCCAGACATGCTGCCTCCCTCCAGCCCTTTCATCAACCCTGAAACCAACTCTTCCTCCTGCAGCACCCACCACCTCTCTACTGGGTTCGATAATTCGCTGCAGTGGCCACACAGAACTCACAGATTATGGGGTTTATTAGAAGTTCAGGAACAATACTCAGTCTCTCTCAGCCCGCCATCTCTTAGCCAACAGTCTCTCTTCCAGCAATGCGTGTCTCTCAGTGTCTCTTTCTCAGCAGCACATGTCTCTTTCTCAGCAGCATGTGCCTCTCAGCAGAATGTCTTTCTCAGCCAGCAGTCAGAGAGACTCCTTCCGCCTCTAGGAGGGTTCCTTTTGAGCCTGGCAGAGTGGCCAAACTAACCAATAGTACCATCAGAATTCTAAACACCTGAGAGAAAGCAAACTTCCCAGAATGTTGCTTTGTGCCACTCTCAACAGAAATACCCCAGGTGGATAACTTCAATCAGGAGCTACTCAGTTGCTCAGGGCAAATTCCACCATGGAGTTTACAAAGACCTATGGCTAGAAAAGCCATACCAGGTAATTTACTACACTGCAATAGCCACAACAATGGTGTATTCAAAACACTTTGAAAATATTAGCTAATATTTTTGATGCAGTGTAAAAGGGAAAAAAAATCAGTATACAGATTTATATATTAAGTGTACAGAAAAAGAACATGCCATATACTTAAAAAAAAAACTTTTGCTAATCAGACAGAAAAAGATTTTAAGATGTAATCTTATTTAGCAAGGATAAGAAGTTATTTTAAGTAAATCCTGCATTAAAGTATATTTGACACATTCAAATTAATGGATAATGGCTAATACATGTGGCAACATCAATTTAATAATTTATAAATTTAATTTAATCTAATATGTGGTAATATATATGATAAAGCCTCCAGGTTTTAATTCTCTATCTTGCATCAGAATTTAAAACTATTCCCTTCCTTCTTCCCACAAGCAGTTATCACCACATTGGTACACATAGGGTACAATGGGGACCAAGTTGTCATCTATATAAAAAGCTGAAACTCCTCAGCCCTCCCAAACTACATTTTTCTTCCCATAACTCTTATTACATTATACTAAAAAACCCACTGCTGTCGAGTAAGATCTGACTCATAGTGATCACTCCTTGGGTTTCTAAGGTGGTATCACTACGCAAGTAGATTGCCCAACCTTCCTTCCAAGGAGTGGCTGGTGGGTTTGAACCACCAGCCTTCTGGTTAACAGTCGAATATCTTAGGCACTATGCCACCAGAGGTCTTTGTTACATTACAGTGGGTTAAATAGTGTCCTCCCAGACGTCGTATCTTAGGAGCTCTGGTGGTACAGTGGTTAAGGCATATGGCTGCTAACCAAAAGCTTGGTGGTTTGAACCCACCAGCTGCTCCGCAGGAGAAAGATGAGGCAGTCTGCGTTTGTAAAGATTTACAGCCTTGGAAACCCTATGGGGCAGTTCTATTCTGCTCTACTGGGTCACAATGAGTTGAACTAACTTGATGGCAGTGAGTTTAAAAATTCGTATCTACCCAGAACCTTATTTGGAAATAGGGTCTTTGCAGACGCAATTAAAGTAAGGATGGAGACGAGATTATACTGGACTATGGTAGGCCCCAAATCCAATGAAAGTCCTTCTAGGAGACAGACAAGGACAGACCGAAAAAGGCCAGTGAACTCAGAGGCCAGAGGCAAATACTGCAGTGGAGAGCTACAAGCCAAGAAACACCAAGGATTACCAGAATCAAGGAAAAAGAAAAAGGATCACCAATATCACCAGAAGTTGGGTGAAGCAAGGAAGGGTTCCTTCCCAGAGCTTTTGAAGACAGCACAGCCCTACTGACACCCTGTTTTGGACTTCCAGCCTCCAGAACTGTGAGAGAAAACATGTTTGTTGTTTTAAGCCACTAAGTTTATGGTGATTTGTTAAGGCAGCTCTTGGAAACTAATATACATGTATAATTTATTTTGTCTAGAACTAAGTAAATGCTATTTTCTAAACATATTCTGGGCTTTCTCACCTTTTAATCTTTGCTCATACTATTTCTGTGCCTGTGATAGTCTTCTTTCACATTTCTTCATGTTTAAATTCTATTCATCTTAAAATGATGAAATGCCATCCTGATGAGGTCCTTTCTGTTCTACTGCTTTCTCTCCCTAATCTGAAAATAATATATGTCTTCTAATCTAATCTATTTTCTCTATATTATAAATGATTTATTATGACTATTATGATACATTCATCTTATCTTTCGTATCTGTCTCTAAGACCCTGAAGGGCAAGATCTGCTTCATCTTTGAGTGACATCTCTCCCCCAAAGCCCCTGCCACAATGCATAGAACATACTATAGACCCGTCGGGTCGATTCGACTCATAGCCACCCCTCCTTGGGTTTCCCAAGTAGTATCTTTATGGAAGTTGACTGCCTAATCTTCCTTCCAAGGAGTGGTTGGTGGGTTTGAACCACCAGCCTTCTAGTTAGCAGTCATATGCCTTAGATACTACACCACCAGAGCATACTATACCAGTAATTATTTGTTGGTGAATTAACAGTAACTGTTGGCTAGAAAGGAGCTCTGGTGGTTGAGTGGCTTAAGTATTCAGCTGCTAACCGAAAGGTTGACAGTTCAACAAATACTCAATGGCATAATTACGAGTATCCCAGGCCTGATATGGGACTCCAGGCTCAATGGTCTGCTCATGTATTGTCTTTCTAACCACCCAAAACAGATTATTCCAATAATGTTGGAACTCTACTCAATGGTGATTACAATCAGTATTTTATTCTTAAAAAGTTTTAAATTAGCTAACATTATACTTTAAACATTCTTTATTTTCATGTCACAAACTTGAGAACTTATAGACTTCCAAAGTAAATTTGATTGCTTAATACCAGCATGATCAAAAACACAAATGCAAATGTGGGTTCTGAAATCTTGTGGCCACAACTTGATTATTAAGCAAAATCCTTCACATGTTTCAGGTTAAACTTTTCTAGATTATAAAAAGGAAAGACAACCTCAGGAAATATAACAAATCACACACTTCACTAAATTCCTTTGATCTTCTCTACTAAATTATTCCTTAGCATATACTAAATTATAATCTAAGGATAGTATTTTAAGGTTGGAAGTATTTGAAATATGCTTTTTCTTTTCTACAATCTAACTTGCTACAGCACTTGACTACTAACCAGAAGACTGGCAGTTCAAGCCCACCAGCCACTCCTCGGAAGGAAGGTTGGGCAATCTACTTCCGTAGTGATACCTCCTCGAAAACCCAAGGAGGGGTCACTATGAGTCAGGGCCGATTCGAGGGCACATAACAACAACAACTTCCTACCACCTGAAAAAGCCACTAAATGTTTGTTGAAAATTCTAAGATTTTGAAAATTCTAAGATTATCTTAAAAACATATGAAACATAAATTTAATGGTGAAAATACTGTATGTTCCTTTTGTTCCCTTATCCTACATCTCAAAGATAACTACTCTTAAGAGGTATTTGCCTATGTATTTTTTTTTTCTCTGCATAGTTAAACATTACAGAAATAGATAACATTTTTTTCTTTTGTTTGTTTTATTGTTAAATATTCCAAGAGAGGTTATCAAAGTATGGGAGCTCACAGAAAATTTATGTGATCTATAGAAATGCCCAGACATAAGCTCACAAAGTTAAATGTAGCCTTCAAAAATCTTTTTCAAACCTCCCAAAAATGCAAAGGTCTCAATCTCTACATCTTATTAACAGACCTTTAAGACTAAGAAACAATCTAATTTTTCCCTAATGTCTTGTAATTGTTGTTGATGGTTGGCTTCAAAATTAAGAGATACTAAAACAATAGGTAACATATGCAAAGTGTATTTTTTACAGTTAAAAGAAAAGTAAATACGCCTACTTCAGATTACTCACCAAAAACTGTTCGGGCCAGATTCCCAGTGTAAATCAGTCTTCCATCTTCTGATTTTTCAAGTTGTGTATGTAAACATCGAACACATCCTTCCCAACAAACAGGTATCTATTGAAGCAGAAATCATTATAATGTGAGTATATACACAGGAACTTGCATTTTAGACCAACTTTAAAATTTAAGAAAAAATCATATAATGCAGAATAGAAGACAAGTTTTCATATGAGATGCATAAGGAATTCTCCCAAATAATCTACAAAACTTAACACATCAAACTGGCTAAAAGAATGGCTTTTCTGCATTCCAATCACAAGTAGAAACGTGCCAAGTTGGAATTTGAAGAGCTAGGTTTGAATCCTAGCTCCTGAGCTTTTTAGATCTAGTGTAATCTTAAGTAATTTAATAGTTTAGTGAAATAGCTTCTTCTATTCAGCTGTTAAATGAAAACATTGCTCTCATTCAATTGTTTTAAAGATTTAAATGATTATCTTTTCAAAACATAAAAATTTAATAATGTAAAAAAAAATCCTCTACAAACAGTATTAAAGTCCACAGTTTTCAATACTTCTAAAATAAATATACTGTAGCTAGTATAAGATAAAAAGATGAGAGCAAAAGTAGTTTCCCTACAGATATTGTAGGAGCTCTGGTAGCATAGTGCCTAAGGCACTTGACTGCTAACCAGAAGGCTGGCAGTTCAAACCCACTAGCCACTCCTTCAAAGGAAGGTTGGGCAATCTACTTCTGTAGTGATACAGTCTCGGAAACTCAAGGAGGGGTCGCTGTGAGTCGGGTTCCACTCCACGGCAGTGAGTACAGATAGTGTGAATACTCTGTGTTTCTCTTAATCATTAGAAAAAATGTTACTGAGATCCTGTACCAAGTTTCTATGCCACCAGAGCTCCTAAGAGGTCTCAGAAAGTCTAAAGATGAATCTTACAGTACACAAACTTCAAAATGTAAATAACATGACTAATTCCTTTATATTGAAATTTAATTGGCTTCCAATCCCATTAATGCATTTTTTTCCAAGTTTCAATCAGGTTTCCCAATCTTGACATTTGACAGAGCAGGATTAGGAGATAATTTATTCAAATTAAAATGAATAGGTTAACATCAAAACCCTTGCTTCCCAGAAGCCAAAACATTCCTAAAATTATCATAGTGTCTAAGGCACTTGACTGCTAACCAGAAGGCTGGCGGCTCAAACCCACAAGCCACTCCTCAGAAAGAAGATGGGGCAATCTACTTCCGTAGTGATATTGCCTCGGAAACCCAAAGAGGGGTCTCTATGAGTCGCGTCGGACTCCATGGCACATGACAACAACAATAACAAAAACAAATGAGCCCTGTGGCGCACTGGTTAAGCGCTTGGTCGCTAGTTGACAGGTAGGTCGGTTGGAACTCACTAGCCGCTGTGGTCATACAGCTTATAGATTTGGAAACCCTATAGGGCAGTTCTACTCAGTCCTACACGGTTGCTGAGTCGGAATTCACTTAGTGGCAACGGGTATCATGAAAAACTTAACAGACTAAAAGTCTTTCAGTTTCCAGATACTGCATTTAATTTCCGTGCAAATTAACCCTTCCCAGCTTCTGCTCAAGAGTAGGAAAAAGGAATAAACAGAGTCGTCATGAGCCCGCACTATATGGAATCCCCTGGAAAATTACCCACGTTCCTCTGGGTACTCCTAGACTCCCTGTCGTTATTTGCAGTCGAGTCGCACCCGACTCATAGCTACCCCTCCTTGGGTTTCCCAGGGGGTATCACTACGGAAGTAGATTGCCCAACCTTCCTACTCCCTAGGGCTGTGAATTCTGGGACCTCAGGCCGGTTCCCCGAGGCCTACGCCTGATAATTCGGCGAGCCTCGCAGTGTTCTTTCTGCACTACTAGAATCAGGCCCGCGGGGGAAGCGCGGGGTACTGGGGAGTAGCAGAGAGCCGCTGCCCACCCCTAGGCCCCAAGTTACCTACGCCCCGCCCCGCCTTCACGCCCAGCCCCTCCTGCTTTCACCCCCACCCCGGCGCACAATCTCTCCGACGGCATACCTGCGCTCCACCCCGACGCCTGAGAGACCTAGGGGCTCCCTGCAGCCCAGCGCTCCAGCCGCCGACTGGCCCCGAGGGAACGCTGCAGGAGGCCACCCATGAGGCTGCCGCCCTGGGATCTCGGAGCGCCGCAGATGCCCACAGCGCCGCCCTCTTCCCGCTCAGCCGCAGCCCAGCCGCCCACGAACCGCAGACAGCCAGAAGTAGCATTCCGCGCGTGAGACTTAGCGGGACACTGTCCGCTCTTCACCAGAAGTCGTCTGCTCCAACGGTGCTTGTCCCGCCCTCAAAGGCCCGCCGGGCGGAATAGGCGCCTGCGCGTGCGCAAAACATGCGGCCTTCCTACAGCCTTCCCCTCCACGTGCGGTCCCTGCTCGCGGCAGTGTTCCTTGGCGGAGAGCTCATAAATTCCTCGCCTGTGCACGGCTCCACTTTCCGGAGAATCTGGAGCCTTTCTTCTCACACAGGTCGCTATGAGTCGAAAATCAAGTCAATGTTACCTTACAACAACATGACATTTATCAGAACAGTGTGGAAAACGTGTGATGACAAAGGGTTAAATCATTCACTGTGATGGACGTCATTTTCTAAGCACCTAAAAGTTGTTTCCTTTGCAGAAAATGATCCTAGCCGATTGGCACAGAAGATGTAAAACTTTTTGATTATACAATTTGAATAAAAATCACGAATTATTCAATCATTGGGTTGGTAGAAGCAGCCCTGCTACGCAATGGTTACGTGCTCGGCTGCCAACCAAAATGCTAGAGTGGAACCCACCAGAGGCTGGCTCCACGGGAGAAAGTGGTGGCAACCTGCAGCAATCTGCTTCTGTAAAGATTTACAGCCTCAGACACCCTATGGGGCCATTCTGTCCTACGGGTGGACATGAAATGACTCCACGGCAACAGGTTTAGTTTGGTTTGGGTTTTGGATTGGTACATAAGAAATGAAAGTTGGTTCATATAATATTGGAGGTATTCAGCACCTATTGTCAGAGTAGTTTTTGATTGGGCATGTTATTTGTCTAGTTATTTTGCATGTTATTTGTATAACGTAACACTATGCCCTTGACAACTCCAAAATACTGTCTACGTTTTTCCTGAATATCAAGAAGGATAAAATGGTACTAGTTTATGAACAGTTTTATTTTCTTGTATTTGTTGTCTGCTTACATTTTAAAACTGTTGTATTTAGTGTAGTTCAACTACCATTATCCATTATTTTACTGATATGTGTGTGTGTGTGTATACATACACACACACACACACACACACAAACATAGGAGCTCTGGTGGCATAGTGCCTAAGGCATTTGATTGCTAAGGAGAAGGCTGGCAGTTCAAACCCACCAGCCACTCCTCAGAAGGAAGGTTGGGCAATTGACTTCTGTAATGATACAGCCTCAGAAACCGAAGGAGGAGTTGCTATGAGTCAGATCTGACTGGATAGCAGTGTTTTTTTTTTTTTTTTTTTAATATATATATTTATTTAACTTTTCATATAATGAAGAGTCATTTTCTTTAATACATTGAGAAAACCTGAATTTTCATCTTCTGTAAAGTTCAATTTCTTCCTACCATATTGGAAGCAAATGGGAATAATATCTGCTAGTCTTAAGGTTTCTAAATAGCTGAAATGAGATCATATTCTGAAAACTGCTATAAAATTGTATGGGATTGTTACTTACGGTTAAGTAGATTCCTCATGTGGTAGTGGAAAAAACATGAGTCTGTTTAAAATTAAAAATGAAGAGTTTTATTACAGCTACAAACATCTTATGAAACATACAATGATGGCAGAAATCCAACAAAGTGCTCCAAAGAGCTACAGAATTACAGAGGTTAACAATGGCAGAAACCCCAATGCTGCTGGAGTATTTTGATTGGTTAACATCTACAAAGTTGTAGGTGTCAGGGTCTTGGTTGACCACCTTTGTAAGGGTTGGCCTGCTTTGCAAGGATGGCTCTAGGTGACAAGATCTGGCTGACCATGAGTTTCCTGAAATAGCTCTTAAAATAGACACAGGGTACTGTAAAAGGGGTCAGAAAAACATTTTTCTATTGGGTTTAGGGGGATTTTCTGAGAATTGACTTAGCCACTAAAGTCACATGTTTAACATTATATTTAACCCCTGTACAAGTCGAATAATCTTTTAACCTCCACCATTTCTAATCACAAGCTCATCTCTAAGTGGAGCAGGGTGGGCAAAACTGCATTTTTCTGTAGTGCTTGCATCTAAGTCAAAGGTGTAGTAGCATTTTTACGGATGTGGTAGATGTGCATGGGATCTCTTACAATGTAGTTAGGTTTGGTTTATAATTTAGTTAGAGGCCTTAGTTCTGTCAAATACCTTAAATTTTTAATACTTCTTATGACCCAATTTGGGTAATTTAGAGACATTGTTGAATATAAACTATTTGTGATTTTAGAATAATAGTAAGTCTCTTAAAAAAAAAAGTTTTAATTCTCCATTCATATCATCTGAGAAGTTTTTCTGGTTGGAAAACCTAGTATATATAACAGATTAAATAGCAAATAAGTAACACTTTTAAAAGTACAACCAACACTATTGTATGTAATTTTTGTTTGTTTTTCAGCTCTTACCTCTCCATCCATCAGCTCCCTTCCCTTCTTTTAGGATGGGTTTTAGGTCAGAATGGATTGATGAGGAAAAACAACAAAGACTGGTAAAACTAGTATATAGAAAGAAAACCCTGAACACTTCTTTATAAATCACTAAAGAGAGCATGCTCTGGTAGCATAGTGGCTAAGGCACTTGACTGCTAACCAGAAGGCTGGCAGTTCAAACCCACCAGCCATTCCTCGGAAGAAAGATGGGGCAATCTACTTCCGTAGTGATACTGCCTCGGAAACCCAAGGAGGGGTCGCTATGAGTCGGGTCCGACTCGACGGCACATAACAACAACAACAACAAAGAGAGCATGAGGAGCTCTGGTAGCGTACTGCCTAAGGCACTTGACTGCTAACCAGAAGGCTGGTGGTTCAAACCCACCAACCACTCCTCCGAAGGAAGGCTGGGCAATCTACACCCATAGTGATACCACCTCAGAAACCCAAGGATGGGTCACTGTGAGTTGGATCCGACTCAACGGCAATGAGTTTGTTTTTCGGTAAACTGTATTCTGAGATACTATTACAACCAAACAGCTTTGGTAAAGATTTTTGCAAAGCCTTTGAAAATTTAAACCAGAACAGGCTGTTCGGTTTTTGCAAAAGTCATACATGGTTGTCAAATCAACTAAAAATGACTTTCAGGCAAAAGTTGTTAAATGACTCCGCAAACACTAGTTCGTCTGTATTTTCCCTCTGTTGGTATGTTACACAATAGTGCCTAGTTTGAGCAACTTGTTAGGGGGTTTTGGCCTTACAACCTCTTCATGCCACAGTACCTGAACACAGCAAAGACTGAACACTTTACTGAGCTGTTTCAGCCTTTCCGGGACGGTGCCACAAGAAAGCAAGTAAAAGGGTATGCTGATGGATGGAGAGAGAGGGAGGAAGGAAGGGTGAGGAATAAAGAGGGCTTGGAGGGAGAAAGTTGTCCTCAGAACTAAGTAATGGTGGCAGTCGCTGGGACTTACCGAAAGTGAGCTCCCAACCTAGGCGAGCTCAGTAAGTAACTCCAGGATTGGAAAGGAAGGGCCCCCAGTGTGGGGGCGGAGGGAGTGGTTAGTTGTCAGTAAACGTTGAAGGGTACCGGGAAGAGAGGAAATGAACCCAGGTGATTGCGCGAGCAGTTCTGATGCTCTTCCACATCACTGCAAGCTTCACAAAAGACAGGTGCGACCTCATAAAGAGCACGATCGTTTTAGGATACAAACCGCACTTTTCAATCTTTCCTCGGAAAACACCTCCACCACTTCTAGGCGAGCCAGAAATCAGAAGCAGGACGACCACTAAAACCACCAAAATCTTAACAGGCAGCGTGAGAAACTACAAGTGCCAGAATGCAGTCCTGCCTCGAACCAAACACTGCCGGTGAAACTACAAGTGCCAGGATGCAGTGCTGCTTCGACCCAAACGCCGACGGTATCTTCTGGCAATACTACATGTCCCAAAATGCAGTGCTACATCGGGCTCCGAACGCCTTTTTAATTAAGGGTGCTGTTTCTTCGGAAATCGGAGCCAGACAGACACTGCTTGCTGGGACTCAGAAGACCCAGAATTTGATTGGTTGAGATTTGCCAGTTAACGCCATTCTCCTAGGCTAGTTTCAGGTGATGTGGCGGAAGGGAGGGGAGACCGGGCACTTCCGCCAGACGGAAGCCGGCACTAGGCTGTGTTTACCGCCTCACCAGGTATTAATCTCCCGCGCGTTGCTACAAGCGTCTGTGACCTGACGGAAGTAATTCCTCCAACTGCCCCGGAACGCGCGGCGGCAGGCAGCTGGGGTGGGGGGGGGTGGCCCTGGTGTAGGGGCTGTGGCGGTGCGCGGGCGCCGGGTTGCGGTGGCTGTGGTGACTACGGGACGGACGAGTGAGTCTCGGGCTGGGTTGGGAACCGTGCTCCGGAACCGCATAGGGGAGGAGGGGGCTTGTAACCCTCTCCACACTCGCAAACCCACTTCCCACCCTTTCCCATTTGGGCAGGGAAGGAACGGAAGCTCTTAACCTCCCTGGGCCTCCCCAGCTCCTAGTTTGGGGGAGGGGAGAAGAGGGCGGCGAGACCTCTCTAGGCGCGGTTGGGTGGGCTTGGGAAGGGGTAGAAGGAGGGGCGGTGGCCGGAGAGAGCGGAGAGGGTGGAGTTAGGAGCATGGCAGCCCAGTCGCTTTGCCATTTTGCTTTCCCGAGTGCATTCAGATGCCTTCTTTTTGTGGAGTCAGTCCCTCTTCCAGGAGAGGGCCCTCGCTCCTTCCAGCCTCAGGACCCCGAGAAGTTTACCTTCTGGGGAACTTGTTGGGTGATTTCTACACGACTTGGTGTGTTGAATCTTTTGTGTTTCTGTCTCCTAGTCCTGTTTGTTGCCTGAAAGGAGGTACCGAATGTCAAGTACAGTGTCTATTGAGTTTGCTTTAAAAAACTAAAGCCTACTTAGTGAAATTTAACGTAACTGTGGAATTCGTGTCCTTATTAGCTCAAATATTTCTACTCTGCATCTTTTCCAGTGTAGAAACTAACTGAAAGCCTTTAGAGTGTTAGAACCTCACTTTCAAACTGTTCATAGTTTTTTCCTTTTCTGTTAAATAGAACAAAAGAATACATCTCTGATTTTATGTACGTTATAAGTTTCACGTTATTCAGACATCAAAGTTCAAATGTTAATTCATTCAGGGAATATAATGGGAAGGAAATAGCTATGGTCTCTGCCATGACGGCTGTTTGTTAAATATTCATTGCCAATTATGATTTGGGGTTTCTGTTTAATATTCAAGTAATTATGCCTTTTCTTCTGAAATGTAAGTTTTAGCTAGTAATTATCTACCTAGTAGCTATCAAATATATATGTACATTTATTTCGAATGGAAGAAGCCAGTTTCATTACTAGGTGGTCATATAGTTAGGCAGTAGTTTGCAGTCAAAAGTAGTTATGGTCAGACCTATATATCAAGTCTAAAGTAATATTTAATTGTTCCTATCTTCTAAAATGCTTGTTTTTTTGGTAGATTTTTTAAAGGACTAGAAAATAATCAGAAACAGCTTTGTACGAATGCTTTATTCTTCTAATAAAAAGCAGTTGATTCCTTAGGAAAATAGTAGAACCATTCGTTCAAGAAATATTCTTAAGCATCTGCTGTGTGTCAGGCACTCTTCTAGATGCTGGGGCTATGATTAACACTAAATCTGTGCCCATGGGAAGATTGAAGGAAGAAAGTGTATTATAGATAATTAAATATAATTTCAGATAGTGATGTGAAGAAAATAGAGTGAGTGAGGAAGGGGATTATCTCATTTTGATACAGTGGTCAAGGAAGGCCTTCCTGAAGAGTTTGTAAATGATGAGGAAGATGTAAGTGGAAAAATTTAGCAGGAACCAAATGCAAGGATCCTGAGGTGGTAGTGAATTTTACCTATTCAGGGAAAACTTAAGAAGGCCCATGTGGCTTGGGTTATACTGAAGGAGAAGTAGTGGGAGATGAGATGAGGTTGTTAGCAAGGATTAATTAACATGGAACCTCATGTTGTTGTGTGTTGTGAAATTGATTCTGACTCATAGTAACCCTATATGACAGAGTAGAACTGCCTGGTAGGGTTTCCTAGGTATAATCTTTATAGGAATGTGTCTCTAGGTTTTTTCCTCTCACAGAGCAGCTGGTGGGTTCAAACTGCTCATGTTTAGGTTAGCAGTACAGAGCTTAAGTATGGTGCCACCTGAGCTCCTCTGGAACCTTACTCCTTGGTAACGAAGTTCATTTAGTTCTGTCTGTAATGAGAAGGAGAAGCCATTATAGGATTTTTTGCGTGTGTGTAACATCTGCTTTATGTTTTAGGTAACTGGTAGTTGGGTGTTGGTGGGGAAATACCTCATTAGAAAGCTTTTGTAGTAGTCAATTTGTAATATGGTAGCTTGACCTAGAAGTGTAGAATTAGAAGTTAGTGAAAAATGGTCTAATTTGGAATGTCATTTGAAGATGGACCTGAATAGGTCTTGCTTTCACTTATAGGATTTAAAAAAGAAAAAAAAAAATTATTTTGAGTGATCACTGTTTTGCTTGAGCACCTGGATAAAAATGTTGTTGTTGTTATGTGCCGTCGAGTCGGCTCCGACTCATAGTGACCCCTCCTTGGGTTTCCAAGGCAGTATCACTATGGAAGTAGGATTGCCCAACCTTCCTTCTGAGTGCTTTAGCCACTATGCTACCAGAGCTCCCCAAAATAGGGCCATTTAATTAAATGGGGAGCCTGGGGAGGGAGCAGCATTCTGAAATAACCAGGAGTTCTGTGTGGAACTTTCTGTGTTGGATAACTATTAGACAGCCAAGTAAATACGTGCAGTAAACAAGTTGCATGTCTGCAACTGGAGCTTAGGGGAAATCAGGTTAGGGTGCTAATATGAAGGAAAAGTGGTGGGAAATTGAGATCAGAGTGGTTAGCAAAGACTAATTAAATGGAACCTTACGTTGTTGTGTGCTGTGGAGTTGCTAATAATAACCCTATATAACAACAGAACTGTCAGGTAGGGTTTCCTAGGCTGTGGTAGATGATACTTAGATCATGGACTGGAGGACATCAAGCACCAACCAACCAAACACTGCCGTCGAGTTGGATCCAACTCATAGCGACTCCTCCTTGGGTTTCCGAGGCAGTAGTCACTATGGAAGTAGATCGCCCAGTCTCCCTTCTGTAGTGGCTGGTGGGTTTGAACTGCCAGCCTTCTGGTTAGCAGTCAAGGGCCTTAGGCACTACGCCACCAGAGCTCCAGGACATCAAGTAGAGAATGTTAATGAAGATAGGGGAGACCACTGGGAGCACTCCACTCAGAGGAAGAGCAAAGAAGCAGAAAAGCAGAAGGGTGCAGCATCTGGAATACTGAAAGAAGAAAATGTTAGAATGCTGCTAAGAGTGAGATGAGGATTAAAAATTGACCATTTGACAAAACTGAAGTAGTTGAAATTTTATTAGGATCCTTTTAATGGACTGGGGGGGTGCAAAAAGTCTGGTTGCAATAGGTTAAAGAGAAATGGGGTGGGGGTCATAAAACATTTTGGTGTGTGGACGGGAATAACGGCAGGAGTAAAGTCCTTGGTAAAATGAGGGGTAGGTCTAGGTGTTTTAAGTGTTAGGATTAACCTTGAGTAGAGAGATCAGTTTTTATTCAGTGTTGAAGAAGGAGAGAACAGAGTGTGTTGTTATGCAGATGCAGGTAGATTGAAAATGGAAAGACAAGGTAATTTAAGTGATTTCTTTCATTCTTAAATAAGTGATTTTTATCAGGACAACGGAGAGAAAGGTATTGGACTTTTAGGAGGAGAGGCCTCTGGTGGTGTAGTGCCTAAGGCATTTGAATGTGAAGCAGAAGGCTGGCGGTTCAAACCCACAAGCCATTCCTCGGAAGATTGGGCCATCTACTTCTGTAGTAAAACCGCCTTGGAAATCCAAGAAGGGGTCACTGTGAGTCAGATCTGACTTGATGGCAGTGAATTTTGTTTTGTTTTTTTTTTTTTGGTCCTTTACAGAGAGTTTACTGACCTTTACACTAGATTGTAAGATCCAGGAGGGCAGAATTCTTTGTATTTTCCAAGGATTTATTCCCAAGTACTTAGAGCACTGCCTGTCACATGGTAGGCACTAAATACAAGTATGAATGAAAGTATAATGGCTGGTATTTACTGTCTGCCAGGCACTCTTTTAAATGCTTCATATATAAATTCATTTATTCTTCAGAACAACACTATGAGACCAGTTGCCATTGAGTTAACTCCAACTCTTGGCAACCACATTTGTATCATAGTAGAACTATGTTTCATAACCAAGTGAAGTAGATGCTGTATTACCTTCACGTTACAGTTAAGGAAACTCAGGCACAGAAGAGTTTTAGATACCTTTCCCCATTTCCCATGACTAGGAATCAGCACAGAAGGATTCTGAAGCAGACTGCTTTTAAGCACTACATTATGTGGAGGACTGAATTCAAGTCTTGAGAATGATAGGAAACAGAAAAAATAGATGGAGAGATGAAACAGAATAGTGTAGTAAAGATGTAAGATATGCCTGTCCTAGTGACACAAGAAGAAATAGCTGCAAACATTCATTAGTAATCAGACCTTGGAATAATATGAAGTGTGGATGCAGGAAAGTTAGAGATTGTAAAAAATGAAACAGAACACATGAAGATCTATACCTAGGCATTAGTGAGCTGAAATGATACACTGGTATTGGCCATTTTGATTTTGATGAAGAAACAACACAGGAGATCACTTCATAGAATTTTGCAAGATCAACGACTTATTCATCCAAACACCTTTTTTTTTTTTTTTTTAAGCAACATAAAAGGCAGGTCTTTACATGTGGATATCCCCAGATGGAATAAACAGGCATCAAATTGACTACATCTATAGAAAGAGATAGTGGAGAAGCTCAGTATCATCAGTCAGAACAAGGCCAGGGACCAACTGTGGAAAAGACCATCTTGCTGATAGGCAACTTCACCTTGAAGCCAAAGTATAGCTTTGTTCTGGTTGCCTATTGGTGCTCTGACAGGAATATACCACAGATAAGATGGCTTTAACAAACAGGAGTTTATTCTCTTACAGTTTGGAGGCTTTAAGTCAAAGTTCAAAGTGCCAGGATCTAAGGGCTGGGTGAAAGCCCCTCAACCTTGGGCTTCAGCTTTGCCTTCTGCTCCCAGCCCATGGGAGCTACAGGGTTTTCTTCACTTAGCTGCTAGTTGCTGAGACTGACAAACCCAGGTTGACAAGTAAAAAGGCACAGTCCCGATGTTACCAAACCACATGGCAGGCCATTAATCAAGTCCATTGAAAGTCCCAAGGTTGGCAGAGCATGGCAGGCTACTGAACAATGACATGGCTCCATGCGGGT